TAAGCTTAATGCTTGATGATGAAAATTTATTATGATGGGTTGTTGCCTTTTTAAGCTTAATGCTTGACGATGAAAATTTATTATGATGGGTTGTTGCCTTTTTAAGCTTAATGCTGGATGATGAAAATTTATTATGACGGGTTGTTGCCTTTTTAGGCTTAATGTTTGATGATGAAATTTTATTATGATGGGTTGTCCGCTTTTAGCTAAATGCTTGATGATGAAAATTTATTATGATGGGTTGTTGCCTTTTTAAGCTTAATGCTTGATGAAAATTTATTATGTTGGGTTGTTGCCTTTTTAAGCTTAATGCTTGATGATGAAAATTTATTATGATGGGTTGTTGCCTTTTTAAGCTTAATGCTTGATGATGAAAATTTATTATGATGGGTTGTTGCCTTTTTAAGCTTAATGCTTGATGATGAATATTTATTATGTTGGGGTATTGCTTTTTTAAGCTTAATGCTTGATGATGAAAATTTATTATGATGGGTTGTTGCCTTTTTAAGCTTAATGCTTGATGATGAAAATTTATTATGATGGGTTGTTGCCTTTTTAAGCTTAATGCTTGATGATGAAAATTTATTATGTTGGGTTGTCGACTTTTTAGCTTAATGCTAGATGATGAAAATTTATTATGATGGGTTGTTGACTTTTTAAGCTTAATGCTTGATGATGAAATCTTATTATGATGGGTTGTTCGCTTTTAGCTTAATGCTTGATGATGAAATTTTTTTATGATGGGTTGTTGCCTTTTTAAGCTTAATGCTTGATGATGAAATTTTATTATGATATGTTGTGCGCTTTTTTTTAGCACTTGTAATTTATATATATATATATATATATATATATATATATATATATATATATATATATATATATATACATAGTCATCCACTATATATATTTATATATATATATATATATATATATATATATATATATATATATATATATATATATATATAGACTAGTGTGGCACGACTGATTTGACATCAGTCAGATATTTTATCTCTAGGCCACCGTCGCACAGTAGGGAGGGAGGAAATTTTAACATTTTTCTCTATACGAAATACGTCAGCGGTTCGGAGAACTCAATTCATACTTAAAGAGTAATGCTTAATAGCAGTAGGAACCAGTGTTTTTAAAAAACCCTTACCCTAGTGAGCTCAACCGGATTTCCGCGAGCATATATAGTCATCCACAGGGAGACTGTTTCGCTGTATCACAGCTCCCGACTGATTTGATATATATATATATATATATATATATATATATCATATATATATATATATATATATATATATATAATCAAGAAGGAAACATCCATTTCGGTTATAATTTATTTCGTGAATATCACTATGTATTCAACTCTTCAGACTGAAATTCTTTTAGGAAATGGAGACAAGACTGATATACTAGATTGACAAGGTTAAGGGAACTCAAGAGAGAATAGAAGAAACGAGGAGAGGAAGAAGGAAAGGAATAGATTGTGAAGTTCTTTATAAAAAGTGTGCTAGGGAGAGGGTAAAGAAAGGAAAAAGAAGGAAGAGAGGAATGGACAGTCGTAAGCCTAAAACAGACTTTTCTTTAAGTGTGGATCTTTGTACATCGGGTTATAACGACTATCCATTCATCACTTTATAAAAACAACTTCGCCATCTGTCCCTTTCATTTTTCCTCTCCTCTTTATTCTCTTTTCTTGCTTTCCATTCACCCTGTAAATCTAGTCATATCAGTCTGCAGAGATGAATATATAGCGATATTCACGAATTAAATTATAACCGAAATGAACCTTTAAGGTTCTCTTCTTTATTATTATTATTATTATAATGCTCTGTACTTTACAATGAGCTTTACCTCGATTAATATCCTCCTTGGAATTGTTCTTTACTAGTTAGATATATATATATATATATATATATATATATATATATATATATATATATATATATATATGTATATATATATATATATATATATATATATATATATATATATATATATATATATATATTATAGGAGATTAAAATAAAAACACGATAAAAGTCACCAGACAATAGCAATCACACACACACACACACACACACACACACACACACTATATATATATATATATATATATATATATATATATATATATATATATATGAAGAAAAATTTGAAAAAAACAAACAAAAATCCTTAAATGCAATTATGTTGTTTAAAATGAATGAAATGTCGACGTCTGACGTTTTGGTTTAATAAAACTTCTTCAGGACAATATTCATTAAAATACAATTCAGTTCAATTTGACAAAGACGATGGACATAAAAAAAAAACAAGTCTTATCCAAAACATATAACTGAAAATTTTAAAATGATCGGCTTTCCGTTTAGCATGGTCACGTTGTCGTCACATGGGCGACGCTTTCAAAACGTATTCCTAAAAATTTTTGATTATTTTGAATGAAAAAGAAAATGAAAAAATTCTATTAGGATCTAAAATTTTTATGTGTATGCTTGTCGAGCATTATACTCGCTAAAAAGGGGGAAATATTAAAGCAACCAGGTCTAGTATTCACCGTGCGTGAGATGGATATTATACCTGCTTCATAAATCCTCCTGAGATTTTTATTATGAAAATATTTTAATACCTTCACGGAACCGAAATCGAAATTATGATCTGCTTTAGTTGTGTGTACAACTAAAGCATTGTTAAAATTTCCGAGGCGAATATCTCGTTTATGTTCGAAAACACGAGATTTTACGGACCTACATGTTTCACCCACATATTTTAGGTCACAGTTTTTGCATGATATTTGATAGATGCAAGCATCGGATGTAATATGTTGTCTGCTGGTGCTATTTAATAAACTACGGATAGTTCTAGTAGGTAATATTGTGGTTCTAATTTTTAACGCATTTAGATTATTAGAGATACGTTCGGTCAAATGGCTATTTGTTAGAAAGATGCGACCAAACGAAATATTATCAGAGGCAACTGAAAGTGTACCTTTCATTGATGTAGTTGTAGTGGCCTTCGAGGTGTCATTTTGCGCTGATGAGTGAATTTTCAACGCTTTATTTTTAGCTCTCTGTAATAATTGTCTCGGATACGAAAGATTTGAAAAGGTATCCTCAATATATGTGAATTCATCATTTAAATATTTTGATGAACAGATGCGAAGAGCCCTTAAATAGAATCCAATAACAATACCCCTCTTAGTGTTAGTATCATGGTGAGAGTAAAAATGTAAATAGTCATTTTTACATGTAGGTTTACGATATACTTTTGAATTCTAATTTATTTTATTTTTAATGAGTAGTATGTCTAAAAAAGGTAAGGAATTATTAGATTCAAGTTCATAGGTAAATTTATAGTAGGTTCTATTCTCTTTAATCTATCAGTAATATTGTTTAAATCATGTTTATGTGGGTAGATAAATAAAATGTCATCGATGTATCGGAAGTAATGTGTATCAGGTGGAATGACATCTTTAAAATATATCTATATCCATTTACATTTGCTTACACACACACACACACACACACACACACATATATATATATATATATATATATATATATAGCGAAAATGTAGTTAAATCCGAAGCCGCATTGGAATATAGAAAGATACTTTTAAAAAATAATCAAAGTATTAAGAAACACGAAAATTCCACCAGAAACAAAGAAAAGAGTGTTGAGTTGCTATATAACGAAAAATATATAGATAAATATCGATTTTAGCAACGAAAAATATATAGAAAAAAATATCGATTTTAGCAACGAAAAATATATATAGAAATATAGATTGTACCATCGAAATATATATATATATATATATATATATATATATATATATATATAGAGAGAGAGAGAGAGAGAGATTGCAGCATCAAAAAATACATATATAGATATAGATTTTGGCATTGAAAAATGTATAGACGAATATAGATTTCGGCACTTAAAAATATACAGATTTTGTTATCGAAAAAAAATTAGAGGCCTTGCTGCCGGATGTAGTTTATCGTCATACTCAGGACAATGCATATTTACATTATTCGAACTTTTATCATGATCCTCATTGCCATATTCACAACGTTTTGTTATCGGAAAAAATTAGACTGCAGCGGTGAACTAAAAATCTTGGAGAATTGAGTTAAAGGGAAATAAATGAGACATCCGGAAGAGGCATGACACGTGGAACTAGGACAGTCCAACCCGGTGAACGAAATAAAGGGTTCGGTTCGAAATTCCAATCACCTGAAGAAGGCCGGAGCGTACAACGGCTGAAACGTTGTGAATATGGTAATGAAGATGAAGATAACAGCCTGAATATTGTAAATAATAAGAATATCATAATACCTCATTTCAGAGATATAGACAGAGAACCATGCTGTTTCTCAAAGTAAAACCTGGAGATGCAAAAAAAAAAAAGAAAAAAAAAAAAGAAAAAAACAAGATGAATTTTAATTTCTACCACGCTGTGGTAGAAATTAAAATGTCTAGAAGGAAGAAATGATTCGTGACATTTTCTTGTCTTAAAAATTTAAATTATCAAATATAGGAGTAGTTTATAATTATATGAACAAATTTTACGTAACAAAAATTCACAAGAGGAAGTAAAATGACTGAAAAACGTGATAACCACGACCTTTCTTTTGCTTAATTACTATTCGGCTGTGTGGGGAGTGCAATGTTTAGCGACTCTGAAAAAAAATGATTTGTGGCACCGGTTCAGATTTCAGACAAATGCCCTCGGAAAAAGCATGAATTCATTTCATCTTCTCCAGCTATGGGTTAAATAGCAACATTAACTAGGCTCGCTTGCCTTGAGTTGGTAACCAATCTAGAAGAAGTTAAACTCAAATCCAGCTTAAAGAGAGGTCGTCTCCGTCAGGCTTTTCTCCATTATGACACATCACTGCTGCTGCATACTCTAGTGTAAGTTTGGTTTGTAAAGTATGAACTAATAATAATTATTATTATAATTAATTCTTTTAGATCGGGATTAAAACCATGTCACGTTGAAACACCGGTTCTTGTACGATCACAGAAGTTAAACAAAGTCGAGACTGGTCAGTACCTATATGGGTGACCGCTTGAGAATACCAAGGTGCTGTAAGCTTGGATGTGCTGGTAGTGTAATTCGAAAATAGGTCGTAATTGGAAATCTTGGGGCCGAGTTCCAATTCCAGTCGGGTTCGTTATATTAACTCAAGCGCAAATGCCCTTGGGAAAGGTATGAATTTACCTCTTCTCCGTACCCAGTTATGGATTAATTTGTGGCACATGTATCAGTAAAAATCATTATTATATTCAAAAAATTCTTACAATATAAAAATATCTTATGGTTTTAAATAACCCAGAAAGTGTTGATAGACCGAAAAAAAACAACAAATCAATCAATCCTTTTAACCTGCTTTTCTTTTTATGTGCCATGTCCTTTCAGGACGTAGGCGATCATGGCTCTGCACCTTCCTCTATCCCTTGCAGCTCTCATCAAGTTCCTTCCCTCTGCTTCCTCCCTCAGACCACGTTCTGTCATCCACTTGCTTAAGTCCGCCAGGTATGTCACACGTTGTTTTCTCTTATCTCTTTTTTCCTCTATTCGACCCGTGAGTATCAGATTCTCCAGGCCCTCCTTCCTCATTATGTGCCCCAGAAACTTCTGATGTTAAGTATAAGCCTCCTCCTTGTTTGCATCCTCTCTAAGAACTCATCGTTGCTCACACGCTCGGTCTATGATATCCTTAGCATCCTTCTGTAGAACCACATCTCCGTCGCCTTGAGTCTCTTCTTAATTTGAGGAAATCGTCCAACATTCGCTGCCGTAAGGAAGACCAGATGTTACGTAACAGCTCTGTTACCAAAGAAATCCTCCTGTCTTGCAATACTCTGCCCGGCTTTTGGAATGTGTCCTTGGTCATACCAATATGTCTACGGATCTCAGTGTCTGTCAAGACGATTCCCAGATATCTAAACTTCTCCGTTTGCTTGATTCTAGTGTTCCTGACCTGCAAATCGCATTTCAGGTTCTTTCTCTTACCGATGACCATGTATTCTGTCCACTTGTAGTACCTTCTTCTCACTTTCCGTCGCTACCTTCTGTAGGAGAGGTTGTAATTTCTTTTCCGTGTCAGCTATTTGTTTCATAATCACATGTTGAGTCATAAGAAATGAACTGTGACAAGAGAAAAATGTGACTTTTTCTTGTTTCCACTTAATTAAACAAAAGACAGCTATTAACAAAAAAACCTAAATAGGCAAAGTTCATAACAGGATATGAGCCGTTCTTTTTTGAGTTGTTATTATTATTATTATTATAATACACTTAAATTATTCGAACTATTTTTCACATCGTTTCGGCCATTGTATTTTCTGACCTTTCTTTCGTTTTCAACATCTGATTCAATCCGATGTCCATGATGGAACTATATCTCGTATCATTTAATACTTCCTACTTCCTTTGTTGCTATGGATTCGCCTAACTGATCCAAGTTTTGAACTCTCCCACAAGATAACGAATCAAGAATTTATATATATATATATATATATATATATATATATATATATATATATATATATATATATATAAAATTATATATATATATATAATAAAAAATAACATTTTTGTTTATTTACTCTCGTACACTTTTTTTAGGCATAGGCGTTATCAAGATGGTTGTTTGTTTTTTAAGGTTTAACATGTTTCAAGGAATATACGAATCATTTATATATATATATATATATATATATATATATATAGAGAGAGAGAGAGAGAGAGAGAGATACATAGATAGATATTGGGAAAAATGTATGACAATGTGGAAAAAGTTTTCTTTTTACGCGTTTCGTCCTTTTTGGGAGTGGGAAACAAGTGTGAGAGGGAAATGTATGAAATCTATAGAGAGAGGGCGTAACAGAAGAAAAAAAGAACAGGAAGGCCTAAAGGTGAAGGTGGGGATTAAAATTTAACAGAGAGAAGTTTTAAAGAGAGGAGTTAAATAACGGTTTAAAAGAGTGAGATGCAGTTAAATATGAATTATTTTTCGATGCATAATTCGCTACCGATTCGCTGACCTAAAATTAAAATTAAAAAAACAGACACCGGAAATGTGTTTATACATTTGTGGTGACACTACGCAAAAAAAAACAAAAACAAAACGATATGATCTAAACTTAAAATCCAGAAGATGAGAGAGAGGGGAAAAAAAGGCAAAAAGGCCGGTCATGGGGTGGGGGGTGTCGCAAACTAAAAACGAGGGAATTTATTTATAATTGATGTGTAATCAAGAAAATTAGACAAAGCAAATAATATCACCTACAGGTTACAAATTTGATATGAACATATAAAAATTAAAGAACATTTAATCTAGTAAGGACTTACTATTTATATGCCCCAAAACACATACGTAGATACACACATACACAACAACACATCTATATCTACTCGCACATACATACATATACGTGTGCACACACACACATATATATATATATATAAACACATACACACATGCATACATATACACATATACACACAGACATACACATATGTGCACACAAACACATATACATAAAACCTTACATACATCCATACACATACAACACACACTTATCTAAACAAATATATAATGCGTCTATCTATCTATCTATCTATCTATCTATCTATATATATATATATATATATATATATATATAATTAAAAAGTATAAGGTAAAAACCACCATTCCATACATACATACATTTAACATATAAAAATAGATAGGTAGAATTAAACTAATTTGTACTTAAAAAACTACTGAGGAAGAAAACGTTAACAATATTAAAAACCCACGGAGTGATTAACGTGTATATATCGATTAAGTCTACATATATACATAGGTATATAAAAATATCAGAAAACTATCAGATTTTGTATATCAGTTATTTAGGAAAGCTTTATACCTACATACCCACATACACATGACTAAAGTTTGTTAACACAAATCAAATGATCAAAAAATATAGAGAGCACCACATAAACACAGACAATAATATATATAGGTAATCATATGAGTCATTCCATTTAAATGACACGTCCGATGTTAGTGATCCAAGATCGAACTGTTATAGGTAACGACACGTTATAAAACCGTGTTTTTATGTTTTAAAGCGTTTTTATGTCTACATTTGGAAATGATCTCACTACGAAGATTTAGCAACTCATCTGGTTTTTTATCTTTAATAATAATTTTTTTTTCCGCAATACATCCGATTGCGGAAGTTATTAGGGGTTCTAGCTCTTGATAAGAATCTCCATTCAAAATGCGGGGTTAGTCCCTTATCCACCAGATAATATACATATATCGATTTTGATGTATGAGGATCCGACAACCTCATTCAGTTTTTATGTTTGTGCCTCTATTCCTCAAGTGACCTGCATACAAGTCCACATATAGTGCAACGGCGAGGAAACATCGCAACAGGAATATTTACTGACGCTTTTCATCACCGTTTTCGTTTCTGAACCCGTCAATACGACTGATTTTGAAATTTCTGATACCACTCCGGTGGTATCTACATTTATTGGTATACAGGGCAACTCGCTCGAAGTATGCGGCACAATGACAGCTGAAAGGTTAAAAAGAGTGAGATACAGTTAAATATGAATTATTTTCGATGCATAATTCGCTACAGATTCGCTGACATATCTTGTCTTTATAAATGAGCTATTACAGTCCAACATTCTTTTGTCCACTGTCAAGGTGGCTATATATGAGGAACTTGGGTATTCTGCAACATGACCAGCTCATCGAAGTTGTGACTGCATCAGGAAGGTTCCAATTCCACCAATGTTGCATTTTCCGAGAAGATCGGCATTGGACGCACTATCATCAAAAGTATAGCCATAAATCGCTCGGAGATAATTTTTGTGGAAGACATCCAGCTGATTGATGTGGGTCCTTTATGGGGCCCATGATTCTGAGCCGTACAACAGTGTGGTCTAAACGGCTGCTCTATAAACCTTCATTCTGGTGTCCAGGTTGATACCTCCCTCGTTCCATGGGCGGTGACGAAGCTTCCCAAATGCACTTGTAGCGTTGAAGACCTGATTTGTTACTTCGTTATCAAGAAATGCATTTGCATTCATTTTACTTCCAAAATATGAAAATAACCACACATACTTCAATTTCTTCCATTCAACCACTGTAGAAGTGTCTGGGAATTGATGAACTGGTGGAAGCTGTCTGACACCCCTGAATCTACTTTTGGACAAGGATGTGTCTTGCCACGTTTTCTTTATGCTTATGGTAAGGCCAAAAGCTTGGCATTCGACAGAGAAGCGATTGACAAGTTTTTGGGTTTCTCCTAGTTGCCACAAGTGAAGCATCATCAGCAAAAAGCAGATCACTAGTTCGAAGAAGTGTTTTTGCTTTGAACCGCTAATGGATGAAAAGGCTACCACTGGTTCGAAATTGAAATTTAATATCACTGTCCATGTCTCCAAAGGCAAATTTGAGCATTACTAAGAAGATAGCAAAGAGAACAGGGGACATGATAAAATCTTGCTTCGTTTCATTTATAAAACCAAAGGAATCAGAGAATTTCCCATCGGACACAACAGCAGCTTTCATCTCCTAGGGAAAGATTATAACATTCAACGTTTTTTGAGGGATTCCAAGCTTCTTTTTTTTTTTTTGAGAATTTCCCATATAACGATTCATTTATGGGATTGAAATCCAGAGACTGATGGAGGCTTTAAGAGCAAACACATTGCTGGCTTCCATGAACAAATCTGTAACAATTTTTTTTTAATTTGTGGCACGGTGTGTTGTCCTGCTGAAAGTGTTCCACAGAGGTTAGCTGCAGCGTAATCATAAATTAGGACATGGCTTCAGCCACAATATCTAGGTAGACTGCGTGATGTAAACGATATTAAATTGGTAATAAAAATCTCTATGAATGCAAAGAACATAATCCCCACACCAATACATCACCACCACAAGTCAGAACCATTGATACAATGTAGGATTGATGCAAGCATTCGTGATGCTTACATGAAATTTTATCAAAAATATTCCCCATACCATTACGTCACCACCACATGCCTGAAACGTTGATACAAGGCAGGATGGATCTA